TCTCTCTCTCTCTCTCTCTCTCTCTCTCCCTCTCCTGCAAAAAAATTGCTTGTTTTTAATTTCGGTCTGTAGATAGATCAGAAAACGGAAAGAAAACTCCCACTCTTTTCAATTATCTCGCAAATCTGTCCTAGTTTAAAACCGGGTCTTTTCGGGTTGTTAAGTGTAATTTCCAGGGATTCTTTTGTACATAGATCTAGTAACTTGAACATACTTTTTCCACGAGTGGTGCATTTCATATTTGCAGATCGTGTTAAAACAAAAAGAAACGTGTGGCTAATTTACGTTTGAGTTCTTAGTGCAAATATGGGGTGGTGGTGGGGAAAGGGGGGTTGAGGGGGGGTTTGTTTAAGTGCGAGTGTTATGGCACTTGCAATGCAAAAAGTAACATAAGTGTCAAAGCTTAGAATATTGTGACAAGAGAGTAACAAACACAAAAAACAAGGACGGGAGATAAGGATGATAGATGTTTGTTTTAGAAGAGGTTTTACGGTTTTGATCACTTGGCAGACAGGTAGCTCCGACTTGGGACGAAACACACATACAGTGACACACACACACACACATATGGACACAAACTAATAAACATTCTACTCACTTAACATCTCTCTTGCACACAGCCAGCAAAGAGTGGAGATGATGCAGCTGTGTGCGACCCTGTCTTATGTTCTCCAGCGACCGCACACGTTTGTAAAGGCCCGGGTGGATTGTGTCGATGTGGAATAGGGGCTCCGTCCACATCTTCTCCAGCAAGGTGAAGGAGAACCGCGACACCGGGCACCGCGAGAAGTCCCAGCGCTCGATGACCCGGCCAGGGATCACCGAGGTCTCGCTGGTGTGGCAACATTGGCAGAAATACTTGCCCAGGTACTCGCAGTAACGGTAGCGCTTCATGAATGCTGTCAGGGAAGAGAGAGAGAGAGAGAGGAGTGATGTTAGTCAATTTTGTCCCTCCATGAAAATGTGGAAAATTTTTTATGTTAAGTAAAGTTAGATTAACGAATAAATAAAACAAACATAAATGAATAAATAAATAATCAACACTTTATACATCCTCATGGGTAAATTTGGGTTTCAATGGCAAACAAATACGTTAATACGTAATTAAACAGACAAATATGCATACAAAAAATATCAAATACACAATAATACACCAATGCGGAACTATTTTACAAACACGCTATTGCTGGTCATCACTGTACAGCAGCCTGTTTTTGTTTTGTTTTTTTGCTTTTTTCTTATTTTGAGCTCGGTGTATCGTCTTTGGCACAAGAACACACCCCAGTGACCACCTATCCAAACGCCATGTCACCAACACTTACTTGACATTATTTTCCAGTCTGAACTCACTACTCACTAGACCCTCGAAGCCTCCCCATTAAACTACCTGCACACAGGGCTATAGACAGCCAAAGATCTTGTCAGTTTAATAGTGCGCTTAATCAGCAGCTTGCACTATATGCTTTCCGGGAAACCGGAAATACTTCTGAGTGTTCTACGGTCTGCTGAGGTAACAATATAGATTACTATTATCTATCATTGCTTCAGGACAATTATGAAACGAAAAAAAAAACCTTTCACTTTTGTGACACTCGTATCTGACAATATCATGATCTTCAAAAGCACAAGTGAATCTCAAAGAGACATACTTGCCTCATAAACTGGGTACACTTGGAGTATGAGCTAAACTATGAACCTTGAAATATTTCTATCTAAAAAGAGACACAACAACAGAAGTTCTGACTCACCTGGATCTATCCTGAGACCACATCCGGCGCAGCGGTAGTTCTGTCGCTGCATCACCACCGCTCTCCTGGGGGGACAGAACCAGTGGTTACTTTTCTTTGACTTCACACAACTGACATAATATCACAGGGTAACTTACTTTATTCTATTTTTATCCGCCGCATATACCCTTTTGGGTGTCGCGGGAAGAAAGAGACGCCTCTCTGCCAACAGCCGAAGAGCTTGGGTCAGGGGGATGCCGTGAATTGTTAATGTTTCCCTGACTCCATCTATCCAAGTCTTTGTCTGTCGCCCTCTAGTCTTGGTGCCATTTAATTTTTTTATGTAGGCATGTTGTGCCGGGTGGTGTGTTGGTAATCGCATGAGACGTCCGAACCATTTGATTCTTTGGTGTTGAATGTGATGCAACCCAGGGAAACACTGACGTAATATCACAACAGGCTGGCCAACTCTTCCAAAACCCAATCAACAACGAGTAACTTTATAACATCAGATGACGTAACAACCAGCATTTTTTTTGGTAAGATTTTTACGGTGCTTACAACACAAAAGGGTCATATAGGTTATAATAAGTGCCAAAGATTAGAGGTGTTGCAAGAGAGTAACAAACACAAAAAAGGAGGAGGAGAGATAAGGACGACAGATGTAAGAAAGAAAAGAAAGAGCAAACCACACTAGAACACCCACTCCCCAAAAAGTTTGAGTTTTCTGCAGTTTCTTAATATGTGGTATCAGTTGCATGTGCTCCAGCAATATTTGTTGAAATTTACATTCTAAACGTTGAAGAAAAAAATAAAGCAAGAAAAAAATATATAATCTTGGTACAATTGTTAAAAGAATGAAACGAATATTTTTCTCTCTCCAGGAAAATTTTGCTTTCTGGACTTTACATTTACAGTACCGTTTGCAAATTTAGTCGGCAGTCCGTAGTCAGCGCTGATTATCGCTGGCGACTTTTAAAGTCGCCGACTCGACCAGGCACACTAAACATATTGAAACAATAAACAGACCCACTGCACTGAAGTCACTCTATATGATAGTTGAATGGTTGATGAACCTCTGAAATTTTTAAGCATATTTCTTTGCCTGCGAAGGTCTTTTATAATTTTTTGAAAATTCTACCATGGGTTCAGAGTTTTAACTCACTCAACCTTAGGCCTACAATTCCGGGTTGTTGCTCTCCCTTGTGATCTTTACCACTTTTTTGAAAAATTGAAACACTAATATGTAACATATCCTACCCAAAATTATTACACATTATATTCAAACCTTTATTTGCGCATATTGAAAATTTGAAGACAAAATATGTCCCAGTTTTTATGCAATACTCTGTGAAAAAGGGTCTATACAGAGTAAAAAAGTAAACAAAAAGCGAAGAAAGGAAGTGCGTTAAAATTTCACACACCCTCACGAATATAGCTTTCTTTGTTCTAAATTTGGGCTTGCACTTCTGGTCGTAGTCTGTTTCAAACGAAAAATGATGACTCTCCTAATTAGGCTATAGTCTGCTTCACACAAAAGTAGTGTCTTTTTGTCACGAGAGCAAAATGTTCTATTCCGATACTGTCGGCGTTAGGGTTGGAGCGTTGCGCACACATACCGATATTACCGCCGTTAGGGCTGGGCGAGTTTAACTGGTGCAGTACTTGAGGGTTTTTCCTTGTATGAGACTTCGGTACTGTAAGTGTTAATATATTTTAACAGCTTGCCGAGGACATGGCAATTAGAGAGACAGCGACTCACTTCTCTTTTGTATAGTTTTAGTAGAGGTTTTACGGCGCTTGCAACTGCATAAGGTCATAGTCATATGAGTGCCAGAAGATTAGAGGCGTTACAAGAGAGTAACAAACATAAAAAACAAGAAGGGGAGATAAGGACGATAGATGTTTCATAGGAAAGAAGAAGCAGACCACACCAGAGCACCCGCCAACCACCCACTCACTTCTCTGTCGGGTGAATGCTGAAGATGATCTGTGCCCGAGGCGGTGCCCACTCCAGGTTACCCCTCAGCCTTGTCTGTGGACAAACACACCAGACAGTGAGTGAGTATCTCTGACATAATTGTCTGCCTTCTCTCACTCACACACACACATACACACACACACATACACACAACAGACAGTGAATTGAGTGTCTCCGACATAATTGTCTATCTTTTCTCACTCACACACACACATACACACACACATACACACACACACACACACACACACACACACACACACACAAGATAGTGAGTATCTCCTACCTAATCATCTGTTTTCTCTCGCTCACACACACACACCCACACACACACATACACACACCAGACAGTGAGTGAGTATCTCCGATATAATCATCTGTCTTCTCTCACTCACACACACACGCACACACACACACACACACATACCAGACGGTGAGTGAGTATCTCCGACATAATCATCTGTCTTCTCTCACTCACACACACACACACACCCACACACACACACACACCAGACAGTGAGTGAGTGTCTCCGACATAATCATCTGTCTTCTCACTTTCACACACACACACACAAGACAGTGAGTGGATATCTCCGACATAATCGTCTGTCTTCTCTCACTCACATGCACACACACACACACACACACACACACACACACACACACACACACACACACACACACACACACACACACACAAATCAGTGAGCATCTCCGACATAAAAAATGTATGTCTGTCTTCTTTCACTCACTCACTAACTCAATCACTCGCAAGTAGGAAAAGCAGTCATACACGTACAAATAATTTGTAGCCCTGCAAGTTGAAGAATCAGCAATCAAATAACCCTGAGATTTACCAGGGAAGTGCAAAGAAGAAGACACCATAACCTCATAACCTCCCCCTCACCCACCCCCCTCAGAGCTCATCCGTACCCGATTAGTCCTTGACCCATTCGAGTCCTCTCCATCATCAGGCGAGACTGGGATGGAAGCTGGCAGGGGCAATAACTGAGGAGGACAGTAATACGGAAAAAAAATATATAATAATCATTTTACACAGTTTTTGAGTTAGTAAGTGTTTTACAGTACTTGTAACACAATAAGTTCAAACAAGTCCAGAGGATTAGAGGCGTTACGAAAGAGTATCAAACACAAAAAAGAAGGAGGAGAGAGCAGACAGGTGTTCAATAGGAAACAAAAAACAAACCACACCAGAGCACACATTGACCACTCACTTTTATACAGTGAGAGGCGAAAAATTGACCAGCACATCACATCATCACTATCTTTAATTTCTAAAGAGCTTCATTCTGCAATAATTGTCATCTATTGTATCCTCCAAAATTCACTGTTTGAGGTTCTCCTTATGTATCATCTCCTGATCTTCCTTTACCTCCCTCTTCCCACTCCCCCCCCCCTCCATCTCCACTTGCACTTTCATCTCTTCATCTCTCCCCCTACACCCCCATACCCCTTTCGCAGTTTCCCTCTCCCACCTAGCCAATACCCTTCTTCTCCTATTCTCCCTCCTCCTTTGATTCCTCCACCCCTCCCTCCCTTTGTTTTTCTTCCTCCATCAAGCCCCTACCCTCCTTCCTTCCTCCCCCCTCAAGATTCCTTAACCCCTACTCTCACTCTCCCCTTCTACGTCTCCTGCCCCCATGTTTCCTTCTGCCACCAAGCCCCTACCCTCCTTCCTCCCCTACCCCACCCCTACTGTCCTTTCCTTGTCCTTCCTTCTCCT